CTCAGCGGAGCCGCGCCAGTGGCGGACGCTGATCTGTCAAGGAGGGCAAGCTCAATTTCGGCCGACATCATCAAATGTGTCCGTTTATTTAGACGTCAATTCTAATCTCCGTTCCTTTTCAAGAAAATGATGTGTGACTCTGTCGTATACCAACAAGGCGTCTTTTCCAGGGTCTTAACTGTGGTGATGTAAGTCAGTCTGCAAACACAAGCACCTACAGTAAAACACACCAGAAATCAAATATTAATCTGTCGCTAGTCGTTTTCAACAAAGAGAGTGTCGCTAAAATGATTAGAAGAAGCCTCCACTTCAACTCGGAACAGAATGAGAATTGAAAAATGCTGCCAAGAATGCCTACACCAAAAGATCGGCGATTGGCTCATTTCGCTGTCAATCAAAAAGAGATTCAGCCTCAGACAAATCATCCAATCATCATGCAGAAAAGCTCAGCACCGGGCGGGCCGATACATGCCCAGTGTCCGTAGACTCCCAGAGACGCTGAGCGTCAAAAACAGCATTTATCCAATGACTCCGCCATGCCAACAACTGGCTGTCGGAATATTCTGCCTTGCTCGCAACCGTTTTCTCCAAATGCCTGATTATTCTTGGCTTTCGAGACTTTTTTGGGCCTCATAGCTTCTCGCCACGTTTTTGTATTCATGTTTTTTTTTCACGTTTGCCGTTCTTGTTGTCATTTCTCAGTTTGTATTGTCGTGCATTGGATTTGCTTGTCTTTTTCGCGACAAGCAATTGAGGCTTATCTTGTTCCTTGCCTTTTGCAAGCGTTTTTGCTCCGTTTTTCCTCTTCCGGGTTCTTGGTTATCAACGTCTTTTGTACGACTTTGTCGGTCCTGCGTTTTGGATGGAACCAGGTGAACCATACTTTGAGAAACGGCGTGCGGGCGGGACCCCCGGCGGGACCCCTTGAAGAACCTCCGAATGAACAATCAATCAGTGCCGGCTACCATTGTCATCGCGGGATGAGGGTCTGACTGAACACGTTGATGATTTGGGGAGTCATCTGTCAACTCCAACAACAAAATTAACCATCCAAATAAGGACGACCCGGAGACTCAAGTTTTGATCGGCTCTGATAAATACGGGGCAGAATCATCGAGCAATGTGACAATTTTCCCCGCCATCTTTCTTCATTGTGTGTGTGTGTGTGTGTGTGTGTGTGTGTGTGTATGTGTGTGTCAGTTGAGTGATACTGGGCCTTATCAGCCTGTGGTGGAGTTTCCTATTGGACAGGAAGTGGCCTTCCTTCGCT